ATTGTGTCAGCATTTCTGGAGAATACTACACACTTTACACCTTAGTATGTATATTCTATTATCCTTGTCCTATTTTGTGTATCATACTTTATTTCAATACCAAATTATATTTTTATATAGATACATATAGAGATGTTTGTTTGTTTGTTTGAAAGGTAGAGTGACAGAGACATTGTCCTTTAGCTGATTCACTCCCTAAATAATCACAGCTGCCAGCACCTGGCCAGGCCAAAGTCTGATGCCTGGAACTCCAGGTTTCCCATGTGGGTGTCAAGGACTCAAGTTCTTGGGCCACAGTTTTCTGTCATCCCCAGGGGGCTGAATCAGAGCAGTGTAGCCAGGATTTGAACTGGCACTCTGACATAGGATGTTGGTGTCCCACGTGTCAGCTTAACCCACTGGGCCACAATGCCTGCCCCAAATTTTATTTGTTTAAAATAATTTTTTTTAACTTGAGAGAATAATAAAGAGGGGGAAGTAGGGAGGGAAGGAGGGAGGGAGGGAGAAGGAAGAGAGAAAGAATGAAGGAGAAGGAAGAGGAAGAAGAAAGGGAGAAGGAAGAGGAAGAAGAAAGGGAGAAGGAAGAGGAGGAAGAAGAGGGACAGGAGGAAGAGGAGGAATAGAAGGAAGCCCAGGAGAAGAAGAGGAGAAAAAATGTGAGGAAGGGGCAGAGTAGGAGGGAGGAAAATATAGACAAACTGAGAACTTCTATCCCAAAATGTCCTCAACAGCCAGGGTTTGGCTGGGTTAAAGTCAAGAGCTGGGAACTTAATCTGGGTGTCCCAGCTGTGTGTTAGAAACACAATTACCTGAGCCATCACCAGAGTCTCCCAGGACCTGCACTGGCAGGAAGCTGGAGTCAGGAGCTGAGGCCACATAGTGAACCCAGGCATGCACGTGTTCTAACCCGTCTCTTAATTGCTAGGCTAAATGCCTACCTCGGAACCTCTACTATGTTCATTACAAATCTTAGCACAATGAGTGTCTGGCACACAGTTAACACTCAATAATGACTTGCCAATGGAGGAGATGAAACATTTTAATAGAAAAAACAAGTCTCTGTTAACTGATTTAGTAATATGCTATGGATGTGGTCTGCTTGCCTAAGTAGGTGTTCAGACACATGTGTGTGGCTTTCTTTTCTTTTTTCCTTTACATCAATTTTACAGCAGTCAGCAAATGGGACTCTCACAACTCAGCAGCATCAGATCCCACCAATTAAGGACTCGGAACTTCTGTCTGACTTGGCTACAAATTACAAGTTTCCATAGCCCCCTTCTCAGGTTAACACTTTAACATTTGGCCAATGTGCCAGAATGGCTCACAGAACTTGGGATAACACCTGCTGTTGCTGATATATTAGCACAGGCTATTACCAAGGATGTAGATGAACAACTAGATGAAGAGGTACACAAAGCAAGATGCCTCATAAGGGGCACAGAGATACATGGTTTCTCCAGGGTGCCCCCTTGCCCAAGGCTGCCACATGTGTAGAACTCCATAGTCAGGGATTTTTATGAGGCTTCGCCACACAAACACCATTGATTATTAACTCAATCTTTGGTCCCTTTCCCCTCTGTGAGGATGTGGGTGGTGTTGGTGGTGGGGCAGAAAGTTCTAAGCTTCTGATGATCACTTGGTCTTTCTGCTGACTAGCTCCCATCCAGGGGGAGCCTAGCAAGAGTTGCTTCCTTTGAACAAAAGATGCTGTTATCACACAGGAAATGCCAAGGGATTAGGAGCTCTGCATCAGGAACAGCAGCAGAGACCAAACATCTATTTCTTATTATGAACCACAATTTCATAGGTTGTTGGCATCTTATAGCACAGGTTAAAGAAACAATATGGTTGTGGTCATTGTAACCGAGGCATATAATGAGAAACTAGGTTTGCATGTTGGAGAATCATTTCTTATAAAGAAAATGAAATAGATGCCACTGCCATTACAAGGATAAGATGGTTGGTGATTTTATTAATGGGAAACTTAACATTTGGAGGTTCCTGCTGTCACGGGCTTAGACATCTTGGGGTTACATAAATAAACACACACATACATATGAGCATGAATACATATGGTTAGATCACACACTATGCAAAACATGTCTAAACTCCAAGTGTGAAGGCTGTAAAGTAACTTCATCAGATATAATAGTATTTGGGGACCAAGTTGTTTTATTCCTACTGACTTTAAAATAACATCATAATTAACTTGTACTCTTATGTATCTCAAGAATATAAGGGGAAAAACTGAGAGAAAATTAATGGCCGCCATGTTCCCGTGGAAACTTTGGCTTATACGAAAGCAGCCAAGAAAAAGCATCAGTGGCAAAACACACATCCTTCATTTCAGAATCAAAGTTGCCCCATCTCGTTCTTTCTGGAATCAGAGGAGCAATTTTGCATGACCACCTATTCAAACGCATGTGCACTCCTTGGCCACACACCCGGCATGCACATTTCACAAGCCAGCCTGCACACCCATCCCATCGACAGCCACGCTCCCAGACTCAAGAACCTCTTCCCCTTTTAATTCATACTTATATTTGCTCCCAAAAGTCAGGCTGGGTTTTATGCAGCCTGATAAGAAAAAAAAAATATTAACGTTTGAGCCCAACTTAGCCAGCAGTAAGTTTCTGCTAATTTTTACTCATAAATAAGTAGCATTGACAAAGACATTCGAGATGGAAACAATAAAAACAGTCAGGAAGGGCAGGAAAAAGACTCTCATAATATTCCATCTCAGTTTACCAAAATGGTACTAAAATGCCAGCATACAAAAATAGAATGGAATATATTTTTAGAGGGGGAAGTCACTGCTCCCAGACTTCCTAAGAGGGGCGTCTTCAAGGTTTCATTGATTAGATGATAAGTTTGCTGGTGAATGATTAGTCGATTAGTCAGAAAGGTTTGAATTAGTTACCAGAGCTCTGCCTCCCATGAATAAAATGCGGGGAGTGTTCTCTCTCCCACCCCCTGTGACAGATGAGATCTGTTTTCTCCTGTGAGTTTGAATTTAAGAGCCACTGAAGCTCAGCAACGGTATATTCTGGCTCAAATGAGCTGAAAATTGCATTCAATTTGAATTTCAAAAATGAAGGAGAGGAAGGGGGGTGGCTATCGCTCAGCACCCATCAAGGCCCCACACTTTTCAACTACTTCCTGCTGCTTAGCTGCATTCTGCCAGGCTGGGGACCCGAAACCCAGGATGTGCTGCAGGGGAAAGAGCATCGCTGGATTCCTGCCCAGTCTGAGTTTAAAAATAAACTTTTAATAGTCAGGATCAAAGCAAACCTCACTTCCACGCACACGCAGAATGCAGAATGCGACCCGCCAAGGGAACAGATTTATCTTTTCCAAACCCAAATGGGCTTACTTTTTTTTTTTTTCCTTCTGTACTCTGGAGGTGATAAAGGTATAGGTGTTTTCCCTGGGAAACTCTAGAAAACGAAATTCTTTCCTAATTTAAAATGAAGTCCTGGTCAGCTCCTTCTGAGCTCCATTCCTTGTGTTTCACTTTCGCCTTCCTCTGCCTTACATTACAAAGCAGATATAGTCCTGAAAAGTTGAGTGAGTAGCCATCGATTTTTTTTTTTCAAATCAAATCATATTTTAAATGCTCTAAGAGAGCAGGTTATTTAAAGGAATCGTGTGATAAATTGTTGTATAAAGTCAAGCTATTTTTAGTGTGCAAACAGTTGCCCCTTCTCACAACGGCATAGTAAGCATGAATTTGAAGAACATCCAAGTTTTCTTAAAGCAAGACACACCTGTAAGTACATTTAAGTACTATCAATATTTAAGATCAAACTGATGCTATACAAAACAGCAGATGATCTCCCAAGCTTTTCTAACTGAATGGCTGGGGCAAGCACTCCATTTTAGGATAGTTTGAGCAGAGAGAGCAAAGAGAACAGCAAATTCATTCCAATCCACTTCAAACAAGGAAGCATATTCTCCCACCGCCTAAATTATTCTCAATTTTCAAATTAGGCAACTTGGGTACCATGAAAAAGGTAATTCAACTCCTAAAGTGCCACACTGAAGCAGGAGTCTGCCAAATGCTGTTCAGAAATCTGACTGGATCCAGACCGTTTAGTTGCAAGCACGATGGATAAAAGCACCCTGGGCAGTGAGCGCACACCAAATCCTGCCCACCTGCATGGTGTACCACTGGCCTGTGGAATGCTACTCAGCCGCTCTTTGCATGACACTGCAGTGGGTACTCGGGGTAACCAGTGAGTGACTGATCTGTCTCATAGGAGCCCGTGCCTCTTCCTTTCGTCTGAGTTACACATCCACGTGAGTGTCTGATGGAAGCACAGGTTCTGTCGGCTAAAAGAACCCCTCCACACTATGACTCTCACATGACAGTCATCACAGCAGCATTCATGCATCCAAGGGAGGGACTTAGGTCCAGGTGACCAGTACCTGGAAAGCTACTATAATCTTCCCGCAAAAACGGGGTGAAGTCACCTCAACCTCTTCATATTCTTGAAAAGAACTGGGGACTCAATTGGAAACTAACATCACATCAAGAAGTTTAAGTGCACAGAATATATAGAATCAGAAAAAGGTGGGTTCCTATCTTAGCATAAGAAAACTCATATTTTCCTTCCTGTATACCACCAAAAGATGAGGATTAACAAACAGTCCAACCATGACAGCAACTTAGAGAATCAATGGAAACGAGGGCAACATCTTTAAAAAGAAATCATGTGATCACTGCACACACACACCCAGTGAAGTCCAATTTGTCAGACTATCCCAGAAAATAAAACACTTTAAAAGCATTAAAAATGATATTTTTGCATTTTACAAGACAGACTGAGGAAAACATCAGAGCCTCTTCATTTGATGCTGATGAAGTGCTTGCCATCACCACGCCTGTAGTCAAAGATGTCAAGAGGCCACTGAGCCCCCTAATGTGCATCGCATGACATTAGGTTATGGAAATCTTAAAAGCGCATTCGGGTCTCCTAATCTCATAGGGAACAGCTTACCTTTCAAACTGCAACAATGTTAGCGGAGGATTTTTTCCTTACATCTTCATAATTTAATATTGTTTCATTGATGAACCAGTAAATTGTCAGCTCTATTCATTTATGTGACGTGAGCAAGGATCCAACCCAAAAAAGGAAAAGAAAAAAAAAAGTAAGGTCAATTTTCTTGGCTGCTGCATTTAATAAAATCTCCCAGGCAATAGAGTTAAGCACACATTAATAGCTATGACTTAGGTTATGCCTTCAGCAAGTCTTGATTTTCCTATATATACACTCAGGGCTGTATTAACACTCAAACAAAGGTACAGTCCTCATTTCTTATTTTAAGTTTTCTTCCTTCTCAGCTTTATCAGATTTATTAATCTTCCGCTCCTCTCTTATTTATAGCAAATGCTCTGGTTAGGGTTTCAAAGCATTTTCCATTATAACACCCATTTATAACTTTCAGATAAAAAAAAACTTCCAGGACCAAGGAACTTTCTACGTATTTCACATTAGTCACAAAATATAAGCATTTTTCTAAATATGAGGACTGTGTTAGTTATTTCTTTGAACTTTAGAAAAGAAAAAGGGGAGAAAGTAGAAAACACAAATTTTCTAACTGGAAAAACATGAAGCTTCTCTTTTAATTAACTCCACAGTGGGTTTTAACCAAATATGCACTGATGGTGTTTTAGGTAAACTGTCTATCAAAAGAAGTTACTTGAAATTGCTGACATTCTATCAACTCAGACCCATAAAAATGGCAATATCTTATGGTTTAACTTAGTACTTCTCATAGTTGACCATCATGTAATAGAACTGTTCAGAAGAACAAAGTTACCCTTCACATATCCAGGAGAATTCTGTGCTGAACTTTCAGCTCAGGGAAAGTGAAGGGAAAAGATAAAGTTGTGACCAACAGGCTACTGGAAACTCCCCAGCAATTTGTTTGGTACACATTCTGATGCAAATTATTATATAAAAGATGCAGCAAAACCATATCATTTTCCATCACATCCCTTGAGGCATGAATATGGTAACTGTGGACTTAGAGGAATGAGCACTTCAAAGAGTTGCCCACACCACCATTGGAAAAGTCTCGGAGGACCTGTAAATATGTTCAAAAAGACATCCTCCAAGCCATAATTCCCCTGCTTTTCTCTCAAGAATGAAGTTGAAAATAAAATACTTGCGAAACAAAGTTGAGGTTTCCATCTCAGCTTCCCCTGAACACTCATAGACTACAAAAAGCAATTGGAATCACACTTTGATCACTTGTTTCAGTGCTAAAGAGAAACTATCTGGGTATTAGAAAACAAGTGGGTAATCCTTAAATAATTCATACATGGAGTGAGAGCTGAAGATCAGCTGAGACCAGAGGTCAAGGAAGCATCTACTGTAGATTAGAATTTGACAGTCTAGAAGCAACCAACGAGGGTGTTTTGCAGGTTAAAAACAAACAAAAGGGTATTTCCTGTATACTCATGATTGAGAAGACAAAAATGACTCAAAGAAAGTATCTAGCTATGTTTATTTTCTAGGATTATGACTTAGGAGGGCTGTCAAAAAGCAATCATTTGTATATGTGCAAAAACACATGAGGAGAGAATCCACCCAACTGACACTGTAGGGTAAGCAGCCTGGAGGGAGCAAATTTAGATTGTTACTTTTTTAAGGAAAGCATAGGAGTCAAGAGGTACGAAAGAAGGATTTAAATCAACAAAAATCCTTCAGGTGTTGATTTCTACAGTTATTTTGCTGTCTAAACAATATTATCAATGATTATTATCAATGCAGCTGTAGATTTCAAATTAATTAAGAATTTTTAATTTGCCAAACCTCATCTTTGAAACTGATAAAATTCAAAATAACATTAATATTCAGGAATGATTTTGAAATCAGGTATCATAATGAGTTCACACACACAACTAAGCAGAGGTACTCAACTCTCAGGAGATTTGGGATTTGTAAGGAAGGCAATGGGGCATTGGAAGGTGGTGTAGAATTAGTTCCTGTCACCTCTATGATCATCTCCTTTGACAAAATGCTGAAAACATTTCCCCAGATCAATCCTAAACCCAGTTATATTTCTTATTCAATACTGCAGATACTTCACTGAAGAATAGAAAATAAGACCATTGTAAACAATGTTTAAAATGTCTTCAGTTACAGTATAATTAAGAAAATTTTGTGGGTAACCTAGAAAACTCACTACTATTTATCTTACTTTTCCTGTTGTCTGAAAATATTCTGAATTCCAAACTATCAGTTGCAAAATGTAGACTAGGACATAATTGTTTTGTAAACTGAGAGTTGCCTATATCCAATTAATTATTGTGATCTGACATACAAACTAAAAACAAAGAAGTTAATTGCTGGATTAAAAACTACTAAGTACTGTGGCCTGGAATCTGCATTGCACAACTCTAGGGGTATCTTTTACATAGCCTACAACGTGACTGGGGCTACCGCACCAGGGTTACCTAATGTGAGGTGGGGGAGGAAATGTCTGGATGCCCTTTCCTATATAGAACTCAATTAACAGGGTTCCTTCATCCACAAAGTCATTGACCCCAAAGGCAACAGGATTCACACCATCCCTACCATCATCCTCCATCACCAACATCAGCAGTAGTCTTTGTGTTCTTGCAGACACCTCCCTAGAAGGTGAATTACCTCTCTACCTTCAGAAGGAGAAAGATCTGTTCTTCAGGTCCCAAATCGATGCTAAGAATGGGCATTCCCACTCAAAAGAGAAGTCACTTAGCACATGATATCCTGAGACACACAGCTTTTGCAATGGAACCCAACCATTAGCAACACAGTTGCTCTTTAGGAAAAGTGCAATTTGAATTCCAAAACCTCAGGAGTACATCTAACTGGAAAGAGTTACTTATAATCTACTTACACACAGGTACAAAACCTGCCCAGCATATACTCTCAAGAAGGAAATGGACAGCATGGGGAAAACACAAATAGTTTGCTGATTTCTCTAAATAAATCTTAGTGTAGTCAGAGATAAACAGAAGAAACAGCTCAGCTCTCTAACTGCCTACCATATGTTGTCCATGCAGACTTAATAGGTTTGCCTATTTGAAGATTTTTTTTTTTCCAGGACTTCAGTAAAGTCAATCAAAAAAGATTATCTTGGTCAGGCATAGGATTTTTACATGCAAGCTGCTGGCGATTAAGAAGATGTGGGGCAAACATGAGGTTAACCCTACAGAAAGTTTGCTCTAGTAGAGCAGAAAGGCAGAAAGGGGATGATATAACCCACAGGATGTATCCCTTGAAAGGAAGGGCTGGTCAGCGATTGTAATTGTTCTGAGAGGGAACAAGATGCCATCAATGTAGGTATAGCTTTTTCAAAGAAGGTTACAAGGTTTTTTTCCCCAGTGAAACTGAGCTCAAACTTAGAATTCCAAATTTAGATCTCCCAATATTTGTCACTCTACAGTCTTCCCAAGTTCAATAATATTGGCTACCTTTTGATGTGATTTCTGACAAGGAAAGCTTTTCTGCAATCAAGGACAGGGTATTTTTTTGTTTTAGATTTTATTATTTGAGAGGTAGAGTTACAGGGAGTGAGAGGAAGGGACAGAGAGAGAGGTCGTCCTTCTGCTGGCCCACTCCCCAAATGGCTGCAACAGCTGGAGCTGAGCCGATCTGAAGCCAGGAGCCAAGAGCTTCTTCTGGGTCTCCCATGTGGTTGTAGGGGCCCAAGGACTTGGGCCATCTTCTACTGCTTTCTCAGGCCATAGCAGAGAGCTGAATTGGAAGAGGAGCAGCGGGGACTCGAACCGGTGCCCATATGGGATGCCGGCGCTGCAGGTAGATTAACCTACTGTGCCACAGCGCTGGGCCCAGGGTATTTTTAAAGTACATGATTTCTCTTGATTCTAACACTTTGCCAAGCATTTTCCTTGCACTTTGACCCCAGAATGTGGGAAGTCAGGAAGGGAGATGAAATGGGATAGCTATGTACAGACGGGAAGAAAAATGATTAAGAGAAAAGAAACATGATGGAAAGGAAGAGGAAGCTGAACAGAGCAGCAGCATGCATGGCTCCATGCACTGACACTTCGGATATCACCAAACTATCTCACATCAAAGGGAATGCAACTTCCCTTTGGCTTATCACACAGTCCCCTGGTGGATGCAAGAATATTGCTGATGAGGATCTTGGAGTTGGTCCACACCAATTTTACCAGCAAGGAGAAGGAGACTCTGGAGGCAAAGTTATTTAAAAAGTCAGGACTAGAAGCCAGGATCACCACAGACCAGTGTAACGGCCTGCCAAACACAGCTGCCTGAAAGCAGTAATGGCTTTTCCAAGTCTTAGACAACCGCTAATGACACCAACTGTGAGGAAGGATGGAGATGCTCTTCTCTCTCTGGGGGAAAAACACAGACAAGCTCAAGTCCTAGAACCTACAGGAACAGCTGGAGTTGGGCAAGGCGGCAGCTGAGCTAGCTTCCAGGGTAATTTGACCCTTAGAGATAGCACACTGCAAATTTAGAGGGGCAAGCCCGGGGACCCATTTTTTATAGTCCGAACAAACCATTTCTGGTGGACATTGGGACACACAGTTCCAATGATTAATTAAGAGCTTTTTATCAATCAGCTTATAATTAACAGTTCTCCCTGTCTTTAATAAAAAAAAGTGTGAAATAAATGAGAGTTATTAAATATTAGGTCAAGCCTAAAGCCAAAGGATAGCATCCTTTGCTCCTGATCAAGGAGGCCAAGAAACAAAAGAGGGAGCGAAGAGCAGGTCTTGTTAAACAAAGATTAGAGAGTGCGGAGGAGGGGAATGGCAGGAGGAAGGAGGCATTTGCTCAATCAGTACCTATTTTCAGAATTTCCTTCAAGCTGGCTTGGACTGAGAGCCATCAATTATTTAAAAGATGTAACATGATGCTTCCTTTGTTGGAGCAAAGCTGCAAGCAGACCCCAAGAGAAAATAAAAAATGAATTAGGTTGAATTTATTAGTGTGCTTGAAGAAAACAAAGATTTAGCTACTGGGATTGACTGTGTTTTAGAAATAGTGCTAGTTTGTCTTTCAACATCCCCAGTGCTCCCCCCCACCCCTATTTATTTATTATTTT